GAAGTCTTTATTAGCATAAGTATGATTCAATGCCTCATTTCATTTCATGGAGTTCTGCGATATCTGCGCGAGATAAAAAATCGTGATTATATTAGCATAATAAATCACATACACACACATATTCATGCGAGCATAAAACACTTTAAGCCTTTGTAAAAAAGAATTACTAAAAAAAAATTACACATTAAAATATAGTCGTATATAAATGAACAAATGTTTCTAACAGATTAAAGAATGTAATACAATCGCAGAAAATGATACTAGAGAGAGCTATCATTGTTGTGGTCATTGCCGCTATAAAAGTCACGGGTTCTCGCTTTATTTCGTTTCACACAGCGCCGAGGAGATTGCGATGCAGCGCCCGAAGGAAACCTGTTGGCGAGGAATTCAAAAGGAAAAAAAGGGAATTCCGAGCGTGGAAACCCATAAGGAGAGATAAAGAAGATTCCACGTCTTAGAGAAAGAACGAAGGAAGTGCACCATAAAATCAACGACGCTGCGGAGAACGTCAGGCCGCTTTCAGAAGGGTCCGCGTGCATTTCACGGCTGACGTACCTTAACGAGCCGTCTTTCGAGTAGACACTTCGATGGAATCGCTTATCCGAAAAAGCCTGACATGACACATCCAGTACGATTAGCACGGAACAAGCGTGCGACGTTATCCCACGCCAAATCGACTAACGGAACGTGATCTGAATGATGCGTATTCGACTTCGATGACAGGGGGGATTACATTTAATCTCTATCAATCATGAACCCGATACAATTATGTATGTAAGACTATCATCAAGAAGAAGAAAGCTGATTAATTCCAATAAATACAGATTCGCTCTAGAAATTAAATAATCTCTTAATAATAAATTTAGTAGATAAATATTCCGTAATACGAAATATAAAGAATTTAATTTTGAAATTTTTATACTAAGTCTTATAGAACAAAATACTATTTTAATTGAATACCTTATTTCTTACAGAAATAGATGTGTACGGAAAGAATAATTTTGCTGAAGTATCTAAAAATTTAGCTAGATACAGATCTAAAAATAATTTTGTTGAATCATCAAAATAATTACTAATTAATAATTAAAAATCTGAAGCATATAATAATAAGCAATGCTACAAAAAGTTTTAACATTCTAATAACCAGCTTGAAGGTCCTACATAATTATTTTGATGACCCAACAAATTTATTTTCAGATCTATATCTATCTAAATTTTTAGATACTCCAGCAAAATCCTTTCCGTATACTAAAAATAATTGACATGTGTACATTATAAAAATTTATAATTTTCAAAAAGAATTTTAATCAAACTTGTTTTTTTCAATTTGTCCATCTTTTGTGAAAATTCTGACAGTTTATTTCTCAAAAGAGAGCTTCAAAGTACTCGTTAAAGTAAGAACCTCCTCACGTTTCTCTGAGATATAGGAGCCTGATCGGTTTGCAAATAAAAACTACAGAGAGGAATTAATTGGCGTCTTGATTACGGGATGCAGCTTGCGTATTTCCTCGGACACAAGAAGGAACAGGGGGATGGAGAGCGTAAGTGGTTACAGCGCGACTTAGTCAGGCGGCTATCATCGTCGGCTAGAAGTCAGCTGGTGTGTATGCAAGCATCGTGGCAATCGTGCAAGAATCCAAGACCTTGTAGGGTCACTGGCCTTGACGTGAATTATAGTTCTTAGACGTAGTATTTGTGTTGTTCTCAATTTTGCCCGCGTGAACATATATCGATTGGCTATGTACGGCGTATATTTTGTAAAATGAATTTATGAATATGCACGACAGAGAATTTCTAGTACAGTTTTAAAGAGCGCTTCTTCTTACAAGAAGAATCTTCAAAAATAGGATAGAATTTAAATTTCTTATTTTTAAAATATTTCCTCGTAGATTCCACATCTCGGGGAATATTATTTTTCGAGACATTTATTTCCCACAGAAAACGATTAATAAAATTCGCTCATCGACGAATGATATTTCTCAATTCTTTGATACGTGGCACACATACGCTGACATATATTTAGATTTGCTCCTTAAATTAACAGGTTTTGCTTGCTATATTAATGCGAATGTCATCGTATAAACACAGTAAATCAATATTAATAAACGCAATAAAAAGATTTGAGGCTTCAGAGTTGTATAATGAATTTGAATTGATATACCGTTAATACTTTAAACTGCTACCTAACATTTTGCCAGTTTTAACCTACAACTGCTATTTCCATTCTACATATTTACAATTTTTTTAACAAAAATATATATAGTTTATAATTCAATTATATCATCATTATCTAAAGATAAACTTAGAAACCAATTATAATTTCTAAGTAATAGATTTTCTAATTGTAAGTAATAGGATTCAATGATTCATATATTCGTAAGCAATCATGCGTACAACTTTTATGACGTTATGAAAGTAAAACCGTTTTATTGTCTACTCCGTTATATTGCGTCATAAACAGAACACACAGAAGAAAATGAAATTTCCTTTCATTATAATATTATCATCCATGACCGGTTTCACGAAATGAAGCTGTGTGTTTACACTAATAATGTTTTACATATTAAATTTACAAATTATTAGATATACTCATTTTAAGGATATTTCTAAATAAATAAGAATTTAACAAATTTCTGTTACACTTAATATTTATAATTTTATGCTTTTTTATTTTATTTATCTATCGACACATCGCACACAGATATCTTTTTTTTTTCTTTTCATAGATCCTTTCTTTCGAATGACGTCGTTAGAACAAACGACTTCGATATCTCTCAGTTAATTACGAGTAACCCCGATCCAACCGGTTTGCACGTTTCGGAGGAAGGATTTTGCGAACAAGGTCCAGTAATACAGTGGCATCAGTATGAAATCTTGAACTCAATTTTATGTGCACATGTTAAATATCCGGTACATACATCGCATGATGACGTTCTCATAATAATAGGTCAACGACTTGGACAAGAACATTGAACTTCAGTAGCAAAAGATTTCTTAATCATATTCTCGGGAATCACGTTCCGAGAATCCTATGCCGATAATATCTATACAGTATATATTTCAGCAATATTGCTGCAACATTTGCAACGTTCCAGCAATATTGCAGTAACATTGCAACGTTGCGACAATGTTGCTGCGCAAGCTTCTGTGCTGTATGGGTAAATATAAACGTTACGGAATTTGATAGACGATTATACAAACGTGTGAGAGACGCAAAGTGGAGTTTATGAAATTCGTGACTCGTCACCCACGATCGCTATTCATCGTTGGACCTAATAATATGCATATATTTTCGGCAAGGTCCGGTTTGGCGAGTTAGACACTAACCCGCTGTCTTTATCGATTACCGAGCCCTGTTTCGCGAGCGACAACAAAAAAAGGTTTTATCTCTCCAAGATGTCGACAGTAAATGGTTATTAACCGTTCAAAGAATGCACGGTCAAAGAACGCACGAACTTAAAATCTCTCTTCCTCCCTCCACCCTTTAGGATGGGGTTCGTCGACCTAGGTATCGCGATTCTGACGTATACTTCAAGGTCCTCCGTTCTTCGCTCTCGTGCGGAAGGTACTGTTTATACCTCTCCGTAAAAGATCTCGTTCCAATGAATCTAGCGAAACAGGCTTGCCTACGATGTGCAGATACGATAAAATACTTTGTGCGTTTCAGAGATCGTAAGATATTTCATATAAACGTCCGTTATTTCTTTCGATTATTAATCTAATAAATATCTTTTTATTATTTTTTTATTACTTCACTATGTTAATGTGGAGTAGACAAGAATTAAGAACTCTAGCTTCAGAATAAAGAAAAGATCACATAAAGATCACATAAAGGGGGAAATGATTCTATTCCGCCGTCAGCGAAAGGAAATCCATAAATACGTAGCGTCAAGATAGACCAGAAGGCGGAGATTAAGCAAGTTCACGGCCGTCCCTTAATATGCAACCTTCTCTTGATGATCTTCAAGGCCAAGATGCAAGGATCATGCTCTCTATGTACCATTACGCGGCAATCGAGTTGAACACGAACCGATCAAAAACAAATCGAGCGTGATCCGGTTCCATCATACAGCTTACATAATCGAGATAACTTAAGTCCCATTCACAGATGAGCGTTATGTATCAGTCACACACACACACACACACACACACACACACACACACACACACACACACACACACACACACACACACACACCACATTCGCGAATATTTTCTAAACAACTTTGCTTCGAGCCAAGTTGGATAAAAATTAAAATTCCATTGTAAAAAATTAATTTTGTTGTAAAAAAATTATATGAAGATATTATAACATAATAGAAAGATTTCCTTCTTTTTATATCATTTAACAAGTATTGCACATTTATAGTATTTATTAATTGTATACACATACTATATATAAGTCAAATACCCTAAATGTATAATATTTATACGGCAAAAAGATGGAAATTTTTCTATTATCTTCTTCAAATTGACTTCTAATAGAACTTCTAATAAAACTTCTAACAGAAATCAATTTTAAGAGAAAAGAGAAAGACATTTTAAGACAAGAGAAGAAAGATTTAGAAATAAGAGAAAAACATCTAAATAATAAAATACAATAGAATTCACTTTTCATATTTCATAATTTGAAAAAATTTTACAATTTTCTCATTATTATATAGAAATATAATTGAAGAGTAGATACTTATAAGCTAAGCATCCCAGTTTTTCTAAATAAATCCTCTGTTCTCGTAATAGAATTAATCCACTTTGCGCACATCGAAGCATAAATATTGAAACGATTATTTTGCGCATTACCATGGGAAGACTGCGACAGATTCCTACCGTCTATTCTTAACCCTATCCTCTCATATACCCTGCGGCCATTGAGATCGTGATAAAAGAGCAAGAGAAGAAAGGTGCGCGAGAACACCTCGTGCGTGTTGTATCGAGGAGAAGGGCGAGCCCGTTATAAGCTCGAGCAACGGCTATTCGGCAGCTTAGGCGGCCTAGTGGAGTACCTGGCAGGGTACCCCGCCGGTAATTCGCGCACGTGGACCTGGAAGTCCCGTGTTTCACGCACTGCTCGTTGTTTCTTTTCGCGGTACTTTGAGTTCCTCGCACGCAATACAATTCTGACAGCTCGGAATATGAATAAACGGTCACATAGACCGTTGCCGTTCGCGATGCTGGTGCTGGTGCTCGTGGTGCAGGTGATCACGACGATCGTACCCGCGGCGACTATCGGACCACTGTCCAGATCACTGAACTTCGACGACGTTCGCCCGGAAGAGGACGACAACGCCATCGTCGTCGAAGGTCAGTATCTATTACAATTTCAAGAACAATTTTGAACGCACTTCCCGTTTAAATGCTGATAAACTTTTGGCTCTCATGCTCGTCTGCATTTGCTTAAAATATTCCACGATGTTTCGTATTTCGATGACTTTAGTTAAGAATTACGCTAAGAATCCCATGGTCATCTTTTAGAAAATAAAACAAAGATTAAAATAAATTTTAAATATTAATACAATAAGTTCTGTAACTATTATTGGTTAGTGACAGAAAAGACACCTAGAAAATATTGTTCTCCATTGTTCTCCAATGTTCTATCTAGTTCCTAATAAATTTAATTAAAATTTGTTTCAATAATATGTAGCAAGCTATATTTTTAAATCAAGATTTAAATTAAAGAATTTTTTAAATCTTGATCTTTCTTTTTTTGAAAATTAAAACAACTCATCTATTACACAAAGATATTTCATAATAACGACGTTTCTCTAAATAGCTGTTTATTCTCACTTCAAGAGAACTCATTTTGCCTATGTACTCATTAAACTACTTCATTTCAGTTGATTTTTAAATTGCAATGATTACGGTTGATAGGGAAGATTTTAAAATATTGAATGTAGTAATTATCGCAATGCACAAATATTTTTTAAATATCATATTCAGAAGAAAAATCAATGCCTTATTCCTCTAAAATATGTTCCTGTGTAAGTTATATCATTGATTATTTTGACTAGTCATTAGCCAAGAGAACAATGGCCGTTCTATGTGACTTTTTATTTATTAGTCAATGACTTAATTTTAATATTGTTGACTTTTGTTTTCTTCATCTTTCAATGATCGGAAAATCTAACAGATGCAATATATATCGAAAACCAAATAATCATTCGCACATCCCATACACGGTAACCGGAAGTTCTCCCGGCGCAACCTCACCTTCGATGTACATACATGCGCACCTGTGTGCCTCACGTAGGTCAGCGAACTCGCTGCTAAGTATCCCGATGGAATTCTATTATGATGTTTCGATTAGTCACTCCGCAAAATAAATTTCATGCAGCCGGCAATATTAAAAACATATTTTTCTCTTTCATACGTAATTTCTATTGATGCAATTTTTATCGATGTAACAAAGAGCAACAACATAAGAAAAGTTTAAGAAAAGTAAATGTTTCTTAAAAGCATCTGTTTTTTTTCTATTTTTATATACAATTTAATCATATGATCGATTAATAGTCGTACATGACAAGCATATGTATACCGAGTTCTCTTCTTGAAAATACTCAATAACACAAATAATATATTTCAACACAACAGAATAAGCAAACAGATTCTAAAAATTCGCCTACATTTTTAAACTCATTTATATACGGAATTTATATTCGTAGCACAAAATATTTATGATAAATATTTATTAATATTCATTTTATGAAATGTTATATAGATATTACATACATATTTTATATAAAGCTTTAGTCGAAACATTATTAAAATAAAGACTAAATATTTTATGTAATATTTATAAATATAAATAAATATTTCTAATATGTATTTTTTACTTGAATTATAATGTCTCAGTAAGTATTTCCATAGCATTTACTATAACATTTACAATAAATATTTATGATCTGTGCAATCTAAGAGACCGCAAAAATATATTTACAAAATATTTAAAATAAATCTTATAAATATTTATAAATATTTTGTAAATATTTTATAAATATTGTGTGCTGTCTGGAAATGTAATTGTTAGTGTAATAAGTTCTAAGCTTTTGCAAAAGACAAAATCAAAGGATGATGTTTCAATAATTTTAACGCAATTTTTTCTAGTTTTCTGCTTAATACCAGAAAAATATACATAAAACATACACATCATGTATATTAATGTATCCGGACATTAATGTTTCTACATGCTAAAGCAAGAATTCTTGAGTACGTGCTGAGATAAACATGCTCGATGCATTCTGATTCTGCGATGGCAAACACGATACTATACAAGCATTTTAACGGGTAGAGATTGTGAAGAAACATACCCCTAAATAAATCTCATTAAAATTTTAAAGATAAACGTGTGAATAGCGTGAAAGAAGATTATAAATAGACGGCAATGACAGAACATGTTAAACGATTGAAAGTGAAAAAGAGATAAATTGCAAGTTAATTAGAATATTTGAAATATTCCCGAAAAGAAATGCCTACTTTATTTTCTATCTTACAAAAATATAAACAAGTTAGGTGATTAATTAAGTAAAAATTCAATTTACAGCCGCAATCGATCCAGATCAATTCGAATCGAGGGAGAGTCGGGGTATTCTTTGGAACGGAGCTACGGCTCGCGAGACTTGCCTGACTTCAAAAGGCGAAGTCGGTCGGTGCACGACCTTCAAGGAATGCTATCCGTACTTCAAAATACCCGACCTCGGTGCTTTGGACGGCTGGGTCCTTGGTGTTTACGACACATGCAGCTATATCCGCGAGGATGGAAACCCGAGCTTCGGGATCTGTTGCTCGAATTTACATCCCTTCGTCACGCCTGACCCCGATAACTGCGACAATCCTACTGCAGACAATCCGCAAGTAAGGCATGGCCAAACTCATGTCAGCTATTTAAACGATTTGACCCAATTCTACCTTTAATATTTGCACACTCATAAAAATTACACGTGATCCGAATTAAAGCCCATTAGATCCCACATTAGAAAGTTATATCTCTGCCGCGTCGATTCGGTAATACGATTTCACAAAAGACCGTTTTATGGCCCGCGCTTTATTACTCGATGTTCGTGCATTCCTTCCTTCTGTTGGATGCAATACCATAATCATTCCTTTCATTTGTCACTGAGGATCTTTCTATTTTAAAGATAAACTATATCTTAAACTATATCTTAATTAACGTTATTCGTTAATTAAGGAATCTTCTCTTCGAAAGGAGGATAAAAAAATCGATTTTTTAAATTGCATTTTTTTTAGTCCTACAAGTGTAGGTATAAAATTAACCCAGCGATTTTGAAAAAAAAAAAAGTTTTTGAGATAATGAACATCTCAAACGTTGGGCAAGATGAAGATTAAACAGCTAGCGGAGGGCCGAATGCACTGTGCTCATTTTCAAAGACCGGTTTCTAATCTATTGTATTAGGATGTTTAGGATAAGTTAGGGAAATCGAAATGAAGTAAACTTTGACTCCACATGCACAATACTTGTTATAAACGTTTGGATTAGAAAATCAATTTAAAACTTTAAAGCCGTTTTTTCCAAAACCGTGTTTACAAAATCGAGAGAAAATTCTCCCGAAAAAACGGCTTAACCGATTGACTTGAAACTTTACATAATTATTACTGACATACTGACACTTTTTGCAGTTCGTGAACTACTATTTTTTTTATATTTATCAATTATTTAACCCTCTGCTGAAAATCAAAACATGATTTTCGTTTTGCTGCTATTTTACTAAATTTTAATATTTAAAAATGTTGATTTAGTAATTTCGTGTACCAACGTAGAGTACTAATAAAAAATAATAATTAATATATTTTAATTACAAGACTGCCAGGAATTTCCCGCGATTTTTATATTATTCTTGACGCGAAGAAACTTATAAGACAAAACTTTCTAATAAAAACAAATAAAAAATTCCATTTTAAACGGTGTATTCACAATCCACTTTTAAAAAATAGTCAATTTTTAGATTTCTGAATGAGAAAGACCTTTAGACAAAATTAAATTATAAATTTTAGGTGGAGGACAATAAGAAGAAAAGCGAAAACGCGGAGATAGCACGACCTCAAGCTGTACCTACTTGGCCACCTCAGGTTCCCACACATCCGCCCGATCACACGATACCGCCACTTCCGACTCATCCACCTTCGCCTGGTCTACCGACGTATTCAACTACGCATTCAACTACGTATTCAACTACGTTGAAACCAAGTAGCACAAGCTCTAAGAGACCCAGCGTCGCTACTACGTGGCCGACGAAGAAGCCGGAATGGTGGATCACGTCGTCGACGGCCCCGTCGACGACCAACAAGTCCCCGATCAACGACGACAATCTCTCGCAGTGCGGTGCCAAGAATGGCAATCAAGATCAAGAGCGTATTGTTGGAGGGAAAAATGCAGACCCGGGCGAATGGCCGTGGATGGTCGCGCTCTTTAACGGTGGACGACAATTCTGCGGTGGATCGCTCATTAATAACAAGCATGTGTTGACGGCAGCGCACTGCGTTGCAAAGTGAGTCCAATTTATTTATCAATTTATTATATTCCGTAAATCAAAACTGAAATAATATATATCTAATGTATACAACTATTTCTTTACTGTCGATACATATTAATATAAATGATTCCTTATTTTCTAAATTCTATAGAGTGGGATCTCATTCTAAAGAGTAAAAATTGAACCAGTGAAACTCCTGAAAAAGAATTGCTCAATTTTTATTCTTTAAGAATGAGATTCACTCTAAAAGTTTGAGAGAGTACGATTAGTTATAAATAATTAGAAAATATTATGACGAGTTTTGAAATATCTAATAAAAGAAAATATTATATTATTCTAGTATGAATTCTTGGGATGTTGCGAGGTTGATAGCGCGCCTAGGTGACCATAATATTAAAACGAATAACGAGATTCGTCACATCGAGAAACGCGTGAAGAGAGTCGTGAGGCACAAAGCCTTCAACTCTCGTACACTCTACAACGACGTGGCACTTCTTACGCTAAGCGAGCCCGTGGAATTCACCGAACAAATACGACCTATCTGTCTTCCTAGCGGATCGCAATTGTATTCCGGCAAGACGGCGACCGTTATTGGATGGGGTTCTCTGAGAGAAAGTAAGAATATTTTTACACCAAAATGGACTTTAACTCGCGCGAGTAGTCGCATCAAAGAAGATTTTTACTTGAATTTAAATGAAAAAGTGTGTAATTATGTATAACATTTATATACTCTTCTAAATATTCTCGTTAAGGAATCGATTGCATAGTTATTTGCAAACATTTAAGAACATCTCTTAGGAAATGTAATGGCACACAAGTAATTTATTATATTCAATTAGGTGGGCCGCAACCAGCGATTTTGCAAGAAGTTTCAATACCAGTGTGGTCAAACAGCGAATGTAAATTGAAATACGGTGCGGCGGCACCAGGTGGTATAGTTGACAGTTTCTTATGCGCTGGTCGAGCTACTAAGGATTCATGCTCGGTTTGTATTTATATATTCATTAATTTTACTTCATCTTAAATCAAATTTATCCATCGGCCTAAATACGATTAGTTATTCATTAACTAATTAATAACAAAAATTGATTCATTATTTAGGTAAGAAATTGTTGAATTTATAAGGAAATTGGAAGTTCGGACAGATTTATTTTCCAGCAAATGAGATATATAAATATACACTTATAATATAATCAAATTTTATGTAAGAATTAATAACATTGCACTTATATTATAGGGCGACAGCGGAGGACCTTTAATGGTGAACGATGGTCGCTGGACACAAGTCGGTATTGTATCATGGGGTATAGGCTGTGGTAAAGGACAATATCCAGGCGTGTACACAAGAGTGACACACTATTTGTTGTGGATTTATAAAAATTTAAAGTAGAAGACAGCACACGTATCTACCGCCACGTTTCTTTCGCACTGTCGCTGTTTCTTCGACAAGAAAGATTGTCGAAGAAACGCAGAATCGATCATACTCGCTTCGAAAAATGTGATAAAAACCGTCGAGCCCTAAAGAGCTTCATAGCGATATTTAAAAAATATCCGTTTTTATAGTTAAAAGCGAAAACATATCGCTTCTCTAAGAAAATTTGATACTACGTTAATTTTTTTTTAATTACGTGACATTTTAAGTTTCATGTCATCGCGCTCTATACGTTCTCTCATCGTTAAATGAAATCATCATCATCCATTTACTGTAGAGGTCAATAAACTCGATGATTACGAGTAGTAACAAAATATGTTATATTTTACATTGCTATACATATACATAAGTATATAAAAAATAAAGTTATATAGTAACGATTTGGACATTATAGGCTTCTGTTTTTGCCACGTCTACTTGCGATACGCTGAAGACTATGTATCGCAATTACTTACATTTAATTGTTGCATAGTATTTCGCGCTGGAAAATAAAGAAAACATTTTTTTTTGTTAACTGCCAATACTAACGCGGTGTAATATTGTTTAAAAAATAATACCGTACGCGCGCGCGAGTAACATTGAAAATATAATTTTAATATATATTTTTCTCTTCAATAAAAAACTATAAATGTAATGGCAATGCTTTTTTTCTCTATTTTAGCAACAACATATTGATAAAACTATTTAGACATCTCCAATTTGTATTGTAATAACGGAAGCACATGTTTTACATCACTTGAAATTTTACCTCATATATTACGGTATTGTTTTTTAAACGACAATGATATAATATACTGGGGCGACGTACTCTGAAAATAGCATGTATCATACTTATCGTCCGGCTGCGGGATGAACGGGGGCACCGCTTTCGACGGTTCGTCCCAAGGAAAATCGTGGAACAGAGTCATGGTACGCACCTCCTTCGCCATGGGACGAGAAGCTTGGTCCAAGGTGAGCAACGCATCGATAGCATTGGTTGCCATCGACGATAGAGCTTCCTCATCTTCAGGCCATGGAACGTCGCGCGCAAGAATGTTTGCGAATACTGCTTGCGGCGTTTCGTCGTTAAATGGCGGCAAGCCCGTGCAAAACTCGTACAGACAAACGCCTAGTGCCCACCAGTCAACGGCTGATCCATGACCTTGTTTAAGCAGTAATTCCGGGGCGAGGTAATCGGGTGTGCCGAGTATGCGGTCGTCCGATCTATTGGCACCACCCTGACCGCCCCTTCTAACGGACTTGGGTGTTCTATAAGTGTAACAGTTGCCGGAAGTTGCGGGTGTCTTAATGGGTGAGATACCCTGGGGCGACCGATGACCCTCGGATGTGTTATCTGAATCCGTGTGCGGATCATGAGTGGAATGTGGAGGTGGTAAGCGGAATCTCGTCTTGATTAAATTCTTCGCGTCATCCTCTTCCTCATATTTTTGCTGTTTCTTATTATAATCTCTTTGCCTAGTGGAGGATACTGGCGTACTGAAAGCTACCCTACTTGCAGATCCAGTATTCGGTTCGGTGTCCTGATTCGGTGTCTTGTTCCCATCGTTTTCCGCTAAGTCAGCGGTAATATCCGCAGCTTTTATGGAGACAGCATTAATTGTTGGACTTGTATAAGGAAATATACAGTCACGGTTGTTTCTCTTAGGTGTTTTAACGACATCCAAATCTATTGCGTCGATCTCGCACGTTAAACCCGTTGAATTTGCACCGTCCCGCTTCCTTTTCTTTGATCCTCGAATCACGAATGAATTTGTACAAGTGCTTACAGGACTAGTATGTACAAGAGATCGATGCTGCGATTTTTCGGCCTCGATCGTAGATTCGTCCTTCTCTTCCTCTTCCTCCTCTATAGTCTGATCAGTATAATTATTTGTTTGTGTAGAGGATGCCTCGCAGGTGTGGTAACTGCTAGAGCTATCCAAACCATTATCGCGCTTTTCAATGGTGGCCTCGTCTTCTTCTATACTTTGTTCCTCGTGACTTTGCTCAAAATGCAGATCCTCCGCCGATTGAAAAGGTGTAACGCCAGATATTCGAGAATAATCTCCGGATGCGACAGAGGATATGACTGAATTCGGTGACATATGCTCTGAGGATTTAAGATTACAATTCCTTTGTAGAGCGGAGAGTAAATTCATGGCTGGTGTACTCCTGTCACTGAAATTTGATTCGTTGGTAGATTTTTGGCCAGAACCGAAGGACAAGTGAGACGTCAGCGAGAGCAGCTGACCAGGTGTCCTGGTACACAAGCTCGGAGTCATGGGATTCACTAGATCTGATATTTCGAGATCCCTGTGCAAGGATGATATTTTACTGAGCCCGAAGTCCGTAAGCTTGATGTGTCCTTCGCGTGAGAGAAGCATGTTGTCTGGTTTGAGATCTCTGTGCACAATACCGTGCGAGTGAAGATACTCAAGTGCTAGGCAAACTTCCGCTGTGTAAAATGCCGCCATGGATTCCTCCATAAAACCATAAACGCCAACCAGACTCTTGAGATCACCGCCCACCATGTACTCCATGACTAGATACACGCTACTGATGGACTGCAGTGAATAAAAGAGTTGCACACAATATGGACTACGAGTCAGAGCTAATGCATTGCGCTCAATTACCACTTGCGACGCCATATTTTTATTTATCATCTCGTTCTTCTTCATTACCTTAACTGCATATACTTGCTCGGGATTGGTCTTCTTGTATCCTAAAAATACTTTACCAAATGCTCCTCTGCTTATCGGCTTTACTATCTTAAAATCCTGTATATCTGGCACCTAACAAAGAAAATAATATTAAATATTAATTAAAACGTGTATTTTATGAAAAAGCTTATATAAATGGATAAGTTATATGTTATAAAAGTATACTATTTATATTATATTAGAGCAGTTTAATCAATTTATCTTATTTTAATAGTCCTTAATCAACATATGGAAATACTTTAATTATGCAACTTAACATTTATTTGTTCAATTTCTTTGAAAACATTTTCAATTTTCTCATTATTATTCTCAGTATTATTTTTTAAGATTTATATTTAAATAAAATCGTATAACATACTATAATCAATTAAAAAAGAACCACACATATCAAATAAGCATAAAACTATATTTAGAGAGATGTATACTTTTAGATCTATCAAGAATTATCCAAAATAATTTTACTCCAGAGTATTTTTTGTTATGTTAAAAAATTATATATTCTATTCATATATAGGTATATTATATATATTATAAAAATATCAGAACTGAGCATCAATTTTTTGACGAATCAAATTTCCTGAATAAAATTTTAAAGCCTCAAAAAATAGTCTAGTTAAAAATATCCGAGCTTCTGCATTTAAAGATAAAAGAAAAGTTTACCTTTGTAGTGGGATTAACGATCTTGGAAATGGTATTGAAAATAGAATTGTTGATGCATCTCTCAGACTGTTGCGGCGTGCACTCTCCATGACGTTCCGTGTCATTTTCGCTGTAGATCGCATCGCCGTTTGACTCATTAACACAATTGTTTTCCCCTGATTGTGATTTCGGTGAATCGGGCGCAGTTTCTTCCATTTAAGGGAAAAAAAGAGAAAAAAAAGGAAGGAATCCGAACGACCAAGGAGATAACCTATGTAATTAGATGCGCGAACTCCTGTGTTTTCAATGAACCTACTACTAACTCATATATCGACTCATAAGAATTGCTTGCATACCACAAGTTGATCAACCATGATCATAATTTCTCTTTCGCGTTATTTCGCATTGAAATCAAGCTTCAAGAACCGGTTAACCTATTCCGGAGATTCCGGAGTAAACACCGTTTCACACATTCACACCACGTCACAAACACAAACACAGTTCTGTTCTACTTGCTTACACTTTTTTTACACTTTTTACACTTAAAATGAGATAGATATATATTTGGCGCTGAGAAGAGAGAAAGCGAAGCTGAGCGCAAAAAGTGTAAGAGAGTCAAACAGACCACATGGGTGTTTGTGTTTGTGACGAAATCTGAGAAGTGAGAGTCTGAGAGGAGCCATCCTGCATTTTTCGTGAGTCCGTCAAAATCGCTCGTGTATTAACGCCAGTACATTCGTTTTCGATTTGGGAACTTATCCGAGCTTAAGCCCGGATCCTCATACGACGGGCAACAGCGCTTTGACATCGAACGCTGATTGGTGAAAAACGGGTAACGGTGGTAAATTTTTACCCTCACAACCGGCTTTCCACCAATCAGCGCTCTGTATCAAAGCGCTGCGTCTGTATGAAGATCCGGGCTAATTCAACCATTTCAATCATGCCGTTGCCTGTCATCACATGTTTGATGTTTCATAACGGTGCTTAACGGCAGCTAGTGTTGGCGCGTAATTCCATAATCGTTTCTCATATTCGTTACCTACCTACGATTGTTGATTAACTTTGATGATCTATGGACTGTTGATCGATCCAGATCGATCCAGTTACGTGACACGTTCAGTTTAACGCAGATCTTGGTTTTTTTAAAGATTTGCATTTAACGACATAATGGCAGCGAAAGCAGCGAAGAAAGCACCGAAGAAGAAAGGAGGTTATCAAATGCCCGAACCGATACCGGCTGGAGAGATTCTCAGGGACATATCAAAGGGCCAATGGATTCTTGGCAAGTCAATTGGTGTCGGCGGTTTCGGGGAAGTTTACTCTGGTACGCGAAATTTAATCCGGTTATTTTATTGCGTTACACATCGCCGTTACATATTATTCCTACTTTGTAAACACAACAGCAAAGTACTAGTTATGCAAAAAAACAGTCAACATGAATGTCCTTTTTTTCCTTTAAGTCTTATATGTATAGTTACAGTTATAAAAAATATGTAGACTTGTGATTTTGTTTTACGTAACTAAATCTAAATATATTTTATTTCTTTTAGAAGATACATATTTTTTTTAATACATTCCTAAGTATTTTATTATTGTACTAATTGATCATTGATTGTTTACAGCCGCACCATATTCTGGAAAGATCCCTAAAGATTATCCTAATGTCATAAAAATTGTGAGTATTCTCCTTATTTTTACTATTTGTTTCCTAGCTTTTATTCCGACTTCACATATTCTTTAAATTTGTTTTAGGAACCACATGGAAATGGACCATTATTTGTAGAAATGCACTTTTATATGAGGAATTGTAAGTCAGATGAAAGTAAGTTGAAAAGGAAAAATTTATTTTTAATCTATTCCATTATATGACAAATTGCTTTTAAAATTGCAGTCTATAGCCCGTATTCATAGTCGGTTCTTATATTCAAGTCTTAAATTCAGTCTTGAGATGTCATGAACCAATCAGACGGGTTGCATTAGCACCTTAAGACATTACTTAAGATGGTCTTATTGATGAAATAAGATCTATGATCCGTATTCATAGTCAGACGTTGTACCTAAGGCTTCCTTAAATTTATCTTTAGATGCTCACAAGTAAACCTTCAGAAATGTCAGACGCCGATTTTTCTCAAAATTTTCACAGTTTCTGTGAACAAAATAAGAAGAAATCTGTCATTAATTTTAACCCAAATTGCATCTGTCTATTAAAAAAAATTTGTTTTATTTTTTACAAATACTGGATTTTATATGTTTAAAGCAATATTTCTTATAATATTATTAATAAATGTACACCCGATATTTTGAAGCTCGGTAAATAAACACATATAGAACACCAAAATAATAATTAAATGTAGTTAAGAAACGATCCTCTTGAAAAAAGCTTACAGAAACAAAACAGAGCTGATCTGGATTAATCTCACATTATCCTAACTCAAAAATCAAACAATCACTAACTAAATCGCTGTTACGCAACAGAAAAATTGATTGAGCTTAATTTTTCTGTTGCGTAACAGCAATTTAGTTAGTGATTGTTTGATTTTTGAGTTAGGATAACGTGAGGTTAATCCAGATCAGCTCCCAGCTATGTTTCTGTAAAAAGTTTTTTTCAAGAAGATTGTTTCTTAACTATTTTTAATTATTATTTTGGTGTTCTATGTGTATACCAAGCCTCAAAATATCGAGTGTATATTTATTTATAAGAAATATTGCTTTAAACATGTAAAATCGGGTATTTGTAAACAATAAAAAAAATCTTTTTTTAATGGACGAACGCAATTTGGGCTAAAATTAATGACAGATTTCTTATTATTATGTCGTAAGAAACAACTGTAAAATTTTGAGAAAAATCAATCTGACATTTCTGAAGGTTTACTTGTCAGTAGCCAATGGAATAATTCGTAGAGCATCTAAAGATAAATTTAAGGAAGTCTTAAATATAAGGCCTGACTATGAATACCAACATATATTAAAACAAATAATATTATTCAATTGTACAACAATATTCGTGAGATAAGCATATCGTAGTATCTTTTTAGTTGATAGCTGGCAGAAAAAAAAGAAACTTGCAGCACTCGGAATACCTAGATATATTGCTTCTGGAAGTCATGAATATAAAAACACAAAATATCGATTTTTAGTAATAAATCGATATGGAAAAGACTTATGGAAAATATTTGAAGAAAATAACAAACAATTTCCGGAACACATAGTATATAAATTATCTTTGCAAATAGTAAGACAAAAAGAATAATAAGTTATTGATAATAAGTAGCTGTTTTAATAAAATAATTTATGTTGTATTCTAATAAATTTCCTAGATAGATATATTAGAATACATTCATCACAAAAACTATGTACATGCTGATATCAAAGGCGAAAATTTGCTACTGGATTTGAATTCTTACGATCAGGTTTATTTAGTTGACTTTGGTTTAGCTTCTCGTTGTACGTCAAGTACTGAATTAAAAGTTGATCCAAAGAAGGCACATAATGGCACTTTACAGTACACAAGCAGAGACGCTCATATGGGAGGTAAATATTAGAAATTCACAATCTTAATATGTAATGCAATTTATCAATCTCTTTTGAATATAAATTATAAAAATGATTGTTATACTTTAAATGTTTTTTTATTTTTTTAGTACCAACACGTCGTGGTGATATTGAAATTTTGAGTTACAATATGATCCTGTGGTTATGTGGTTCATTACCATGGGAAAAGTTACTCGATCCAGCTACCGTTCAGAAAGAGAAAGAAAAAGCTTTCAACAATATAGACAGTTTCCTAAATAAGTGTTTTCATGGATCTGTTCCACAAGCTGTTCACAAATTTATAACTTTGCTAGCCAGTATAAAATTTAATGAAATACCATCTTATGAAAAATTGAAGGAAACATTAATAGGTGGTTTAAAGAAATTAAGTCATAAACCAGATGGGAAATTAAAATTGGACAGCATTGGCATGCTAATTCAACAAAATACTTCTAAACATACTCCACAAAAAATAAAGAAACCTATAAATGGAATCTCCATTAGGAAGAGTCCCCGTATGAAACAACTGGATGCTCTAAGTTCTATGAGAAATTCAAGACAAAGTACTATAGGTGTCGTAATTGATAAGAAGCGTTGTAATATAAAGGATATTGCGAAAGCATTAGATGATATGGATTCTGACGGTGAATATGATATTCAAATTCTTAAAAAAGCGAAAAAAACAGAATCAGTTGAAAAAGCAAATACGATAGTGAAAAATAAAGCTCCCTCTCGTAGAAAGAAAGTTTCAATTGATTCAATCGAAGATTCTGAAGAGGATTCCAACACAAAGGTAATTATAAAACTGTCTGAAAAAGGAGTACACATATTACTCATTTTTTAATTTTATTTAAATTTAGAGTTCAGATTTATTTTTGTCATTAGAATACTTATTTCTTTCATTTTGTATAGTTGTTACTAAAACCAAATAAGAAACGAGAGAAAAAGCCAGTCACAAGTAAAACAAGACGAAAGATCAAGTCTTTGAATGATTCAGAAACAGCTTCTGAAACTGAGGTAATAAAATTTAGTTATTTAACTTGTATTTTTTTCTTCAATCTGTATAAATAAGAATTAGATAAATATTACGTAAATGATGAAAATATTAAGTATATTTTCAATACATTTTTAGATTGTACCAAAAAAAACAAAATCAAGACCTGTTGCTACTGCTAGAAGTAAAGCAAATACTAGGTTGCAATCCAATAAAATAATATCTACAACTTATGCTGAAATTGGATCAGACGAAGATATGTTTGATACATAGTCTTACAAAAAATAAAAGAATAGTAAAAGAAGTATAATTGTGTGGTATTTGTACTACAAAAAAATATGTAACTTGCATTTATACATTATGCACTTTTGTACATGGCCTCTTACATTTCATATTATTATACTAATATAACATGATTTACTACAACATTGTTTGCTCGTGATTAAAGCAATTCTGATGATAATATTTTTCATCGTTATCTCTATTTTTGTATATATGTGAATAGAGTCTCCAAAAATGAAAAATTTTGAGTTATAAAACTATTATGATGTTGTAAAAATTACTGCGTACTTTTTGATAAAATAAAAGAAATGTTAAATGCATGTAATTGAATATTTTTATATGTGTTGAATGTAATAGGATCTTCAGTTCTCTTGATTATACATATTGTTATAAATAACCAGCAATAATCATTTGAAGAACCAATTCGATTTATTGGGCATGTAAGATGAGTAAGTTTTCAGATAATGAAAGAAAAGTTTCAAAATAAATTAATTAAAGAGTTATAAAATCAAACTGTCTAAAAAAATTTTACATATATATTTACATATATTATACATGTATATTTACTATATCCAAACTTAAGTATTTGGATTTGAATACTTACGGTAATTGTAAATAATAAATTTTATACTTTTCTATTTTAAAAAATATATAGTCAATGTTTTGTGAATTAATTTCATTAAATATTGTGCAATTTAAAGAAAATGTGTTTTACAAATATGTCATTCCTTCACAAATAAGTTTTACACGGTGCAAGTAATTAAAAAAGTAATTCAGGTTATTAATTATATGGATAAAAATCAGTATTTTTCAATTATTTTTTTAATTTTTGAATTTGAGGGGCGCTTATTTTTACTTTTCCAGGTATATTCCTGGCTATTGTCTCATCTTTAATTGCCTTTAATAGATCTTTTTCACGTGAAGAAATTTCTTTGTCTCTGAGAAATACAGCTATAGCTGTTTTAGCTGCTTTGCCCCTCTTACCAATACCAGGTGTCAATTTCACTTTGAACCTAAAATAAATTGAAATTTATTATAAATGAGAGAGAAAGAGCTAAATTATTGATCGTTTTAGGAGCTACTTACTTGTAATTTTGTAAGGTATTGTAAGGTGCTACAACAGGAACAGCAAATAATAATTCATCTTCTGAAACAGGCTTTCCTGTTAATTGATCGAGCATATCAACTTCAGGAATTGGACCCGCATCTTCATCGTCAACGTTATCTATCGTGTGCATAGATTGTGATGGAATGTTAGGTTTCGGATTTGTCTTTTTCTTTCCTTGTTGCTTTGGACCTGACGGATCTTTAGCCCTATTTTTTCTTTTGTCTTCTTTAGCTGCACCTGCCGACTAAAAAATAATTGAAAAAATAAAGATATTAGATTAAATAAATAAGTTTAGAGAGCACAGTACTCAGTATAAAATTTAAAGCAAAAGATAGAACCTGCAAAACGAGCATTGAAAGCCTTCTATCTTCCTCATCTTGATCTTTATACTTTTCTTTCATTTTTTTAAGCTTCCCTTTTTGTCCTCGTTTTAACGCAGGTTGCTCTCCTTTTTTGTTTTCATTTTCATTTTTATCATCTTTTTCGACCTTATTTGTTGATTCTTTTGGATATGTTTTTTGTTTTGCTTTTGCATGTTTCTCCGCAGTTGATGCATTTATTATAATAGGCTTGTCATCTCCTAAATAAACTACATTTTCTTTCGTATCCTTCTGAGATTGTATTAAAGGCTGATTATTATCAACATGTATTTTTATCCTGTTTGATATAAAATTACGTCATATATATGTATATATATTTCATTTGATTTCAATTATAATTGAAAATTTTGTATTAACTCACTTCGGGCCTGTAAGATCAATTTTAATTTGTGTATCAGGAAATTGATATTTTGTATCTATATTTGTATCTTTTTCGTCTTCTTCATAAGTATCTTTCTTAACACTATAGTCTGTTGTATAAGATTCTGATTTCTCTTGATCCTCCTCTTGAATTGGATGTAATGTATTTTTGTTTTCTAGATTTTCATCTAACATTAAAAATTACGAGCTTTTGAAAATATACATTAACAATTAAGGAATAATTTAATTATCTAACATTTAATTATATTATTCCTGATTTATTGCATTATTTACCTTCATCCGAATCGCCTTCTAATTCTATTTCCCTGTCATCTTCAACTATCGAATCCGCTTTTTCGCTTTCTTCATCTACTGTTTTCACTCTCCTTTCATCTTTATGTCGTTCTATGGAACTGTCCTCTAGACGAAACATGATACCCAATCCCATAATTAATTGACTGTGCGTCAAATAATTTTTTTTTCCACGTATCATGAAAGATCCGGTAGTAAGATATTCACCAGTAGGTGCACTCTTGGATACTTGATCATGATACACCCACCATGCACTAGCTATTACTTTCGAATCCCATGCTATACTATAAATGTAATATTAAGCATAATTATCTACATAATTATAATAATATATTAATAATTTTTAGTTTAAAAATAATATATATGTATATGTAAATTTAATAAGTTCTACTATTGTAAAAATAGAAATCAATATAATTATGTACCTGTATGCAACAGCCATTGTGCCTGCCTCTGCTAATGATTTTGGCGGCACAGGATTGCCACTGGGATTTTTTATTACGACAGAACTAGCACCAGTTAAATCCGCGTGAACGTATAAATCTCCCGCCTTTAGATATCTTTTAACTATGAACTCGTTCTGCTGTTGATCTCTTCCTCCAATCACTATATATATATTTATGTTAAAATTAATAATTTCTATATAAATTATTAAAAGAAAAACATACCTAAGTAATTTTCCGATGTAATAAACCAATAGAATTTTTCAAACCAATATGTCTTCCTTAATTTATTAATGGTATGTATAGTTTGCACTTCTTTCAGTGTTTGCTTTGTCTTCTTTTCGGCCGATTTCAAAGCTTTCCCCTGGGATTCTATTGTTTTTTGCTGCTTCTTTGCGGCTGATTTTTTTTGACTGTAGTACTTCTTGGCATTACTGAATGCTGTATGTGCCAAATCTATATCAATCATCATAGGTTTGAGCTTAGATTCCTCATCACTGTCTTCGTAAGGATCATGCAACAATAGGGCAACATGATTCGTTTCTAGTTTTAATTGTTTTATAGCAGAAGCAACAGGATCACCTCTGGCTTGAGCTTCTTTCAATAAAACTTGAATGTCGGGCCAAGACATCTGATTTGCCAAGGCGCTTTGTATAGCTAGTATAGCATTGTCCACTAAAACCTGATTCCTTGAAATTAATTCTGCTTTTTGTTTATCTAATTCCTGCGTCTTTTCTAACGTAATCAATCGCTGACTGTGATCATTTTTTACTCTTTCTAATTTTTGCAAAGCTTCTCTCTCCTGTTGCAGAGCTTTCAAATCTATCTTTTGTCCTTCCATCATAGAGAAATATTCATCCACTGCGACATCAAAAGAATCAAACTCCTTGTAAGGTTGATTATTATATTGCTCAAATAAAAAAGGATGAAATTCAATATTAGCAAATATAAAATCTTCCTTATCTCCTTGAGTAAGTTTTGATTCCTTTTTCTGCATAATATAGCCTTTTGAGACATTTTTTTTTGCGTAATCCATCATGTTATTAGCATCCTCGAGTGCTAGAATTAATTTTTGCATATCTTCAGTGATATGAAAATCTTTATCTATTTTGCAACCAAAATTAAATCCGGCTTTAAGTAAAACATGATCAATCACAGCTGAACCAAATTCTAACAGTGGATTTAATACTTTTTTAAGACTATCGCCCTCCTTAGCTTTTTGAATATGCTCATGGATTACATCTATAGGTGGCATAGTTGTAGAACGAGCTCTGTCTAAGGGATATTTCTCTTTCACTGCAAATCTAAATATCATATGATTTTGTTAGTACTTTACACATCGACATATATTTTACATTGTAGATACATTTTGTTTGTTACCTAATTTTATCTCCTTCTGTATGAGGTCTTAACACATACAAAATTACCATTTCATGATCAGTCAGGATTATATTACCACGATCATACACCTCCAAAATTACATGGTAGGCAGCTTCGCCACTTCCGAATTGTAACTTTATTATTCGATCCATACCGACTTGCATAAGACTCTCTAATCTTTTGTTCTTAAGATGTTTACGCATCTGTAAAATTATATAGATTCTGAGGTATTTATTGTTACTAGCAGAATTATTTTATAATTTAATATTATTATTATTTAGCAGAGATATATATGAATTTACCTTCATAGAGAATCCTGAGGGAGCTACATTCTTGGGCCATTCAAAAGCTGTAGTATGAATTCTATTACCAGATTCAAGCAAAAGAACGCATTTTTCCTCACTACGTTGAAGGCGTATAAGATATGTACGATGGTCTATGTCGTATATCTGATTGACACGCATGCCAATAAGCCTAAAAGTTTTTACATGATTATAAGATAGCTTGTGAACACAACAATTTGTGTTAACCTGTTGCATTATGATATTATATAATTATTTATATATCAACAATTATTTATTAATAAAAAATAACTACAGTTGATTTATATATTTTAAAAATAAAATTATATTACGACTGTACTCTTTTAAAGATAGATTATATATTTTGAGGAAAATGAAATTTTTGTCATAACCTCTAGATCTTATTAAAATCAGAAATACGTTATTTATCTTTCTCTCTTACCTTTGTAGTTCAGTAACTGAACATACAAGATCGTAAGTATTAAACCGTGTCTTCATTTTTAGATAGGTTTTATTTTCTCTTTGAAAAATTTATCGAAAAACACAGTGACAGTTCGACATACCCTACACTACGGTTTAATTCAGCCTATTTCACTGACTGACTGTGAGTGGCAGGACTGGATTTGCACAATATTATGACATATATACGGTAACTTGTGACCTAGAAAGTCTAGGAGTCTAGGAACACTCGTGTAGAATGAACGAAAAGTCACATTATATCCGCAAATACAGACGAATATTTATTGAAAATTTTTTACGAAATTAATCTTATCTATAAATCATATCCTTATCTATTAAATTTTATTTCAGACATTTCTAAACTGAGTATATACA